CGAGAATACTATATTTTTCTATTTTTATTTTTATATTTTTTTTTTTTTTTTGGTTTGTATCGGAATAAAAGAGGAAAATTTAACCTTGTAAATAATAATGAAATGGGAATGTCAATTTGTTTATACGATGTTTTTAATCCCATGATCGTGATTGTTCAGCTTCGATCGGATGATTTTCCGGATGGAAATTGAAGCAGCAGTTGCTGCATCAGTAAGTGGAAATAATCGATTCAGATTCGTTATTATGCAATTTTAAATTTGAAAATTGATTTTTTTAATATTTTTATTGAAATTATGCGAATAACAATTTCAGGGAGATTAAAGGAATGGAGGAGAATTAATTTTTGGGAAAATAAGAAAATGTTATTAAAGATTTATTATTAAATTTTGCATTTACATTAATTGATTTATTGAGATAATCACCTGATTCTCGTAAGCGTGAAATAATTCATAATTACTGGTTATTCAACGACGAATTATGATTAAACGAATTTAGTGTAATTTACGTTTATATGAATTACAGATTCCTCTTGACTCGACACTCATTCGTTAATGAAACCATTCGTAAACACGATAACGATAATTGGCTTGTTGCACGTGTTCATGAATAATTAAAAAGGAAATTAAAAAACAAACGTACGAATCTGACTTAGTTCATTAATATTTGTGTTTAATCGATTGATTATGAAGTTTTTTTTTTACAGTTCGTTTCACATTTAAAATTTATGAAATTCCTTTGTTCTGTTATCTGCATTATCGACCGTTGAGAATTTATTTTATCTACTGTAGGAATAAACGCAATCTAAAATTTTCGTATTAAATTCTCTGTCGGTAACATGAATTAAAGATAAAATAGCGATTGATTTTATCGATAAGAATAAAATAGAAGTCTTAGTAATCTTGTCAATACTGCCATCTTGAGGATATTGAGAATATTTTTAAGACTCGGTGATATTATTCTGCTAAGGCCATCTATTGAATACTTTGCATTACAACGATCTTTATATTCTTCAAATATTCAATATAGAAGAATCTGATTGATTAAATCAAATACCTTTATTATATTATAAACAGAAATATAATAAAAAAGAAAATTTGTTATAAAAATTTGCACTCTTTATAATAAAAAGTATCGATTCAAAGACATCCGATCTGAGCGCAATCGTAACATTTATATATATATATTATCAATTAATACGAGAGAACAATCTACGATCTTTTTTTCTTCTATGTGTAGCTTGACAAAAGTATCGTAGCTTTCTATGGTGATGGTGCTTAATATCTCTATATTTTATTTTTTATTATTTCACATATATTTGTAATTTTTGTAAATATATACAGCAACAAAGCAGTGAAGATATAATTCTCGCAATAAAAAGAAATTCTCTCCATTAAATAAAAATTCGAGACAATTTCCATTCTCACATTTCTATATGGTTAAACTATTTTAAAATATTTTATAATTTTTACATCAAGAGAAAATTCTTTTTATCTCGAGTGTTCACACTTTGTTGAACGAAAAGAGAACTTTTTTTTTTTTTTTCTTTTATTTATCCGCGTGGACGTGTGCGGGGTGTGACAATGAATCATGTTTGTGATCCTTGGGTTGCAGGTTCAAAGAGACAGAGCTTCCTGTCGAGCGAGCGTATGTACACGATCCTATTATCTATTATATCAGTCTCTGTCGTTTCACTACATATATATATATATATTATATAGTCACAAAAACACACTTACAAATACTAATCGACATCCTTCGCCACGATAATTACGCTGTTAAATCGATTCGATTCGCTGCCTCTTTAACCATTTTCTCTTTCTCTGTCACACACACAATATAGAGAACATATTGGGGGTTGCTGAAATGCATGAAATTGTTCGCTGTGAAAAAGAAAAAAAGAAAAAGAAAGAAAGAAAGAAAAAATTTAAAAGAAAAAAATTCTGCCATAATTTTGAGTAGCTTATTGAGTCGTTCACTTTTTTATTTGATATAATATGGCGTGCTTTTATTACATTTTATTTTGCGATCGGCTTTAATTTAATTTACTTTTACTTAGAATAGAATTGGGCTACGTTATAAGTAAAAAATAATCGATCTTGTTGAAAAAAAATTCACAATTGTTGGAATTAATGTTGAATTATTTTTTTATGAAGATAAATTTTATATCCATTTTAATCATTTAAAACTCATTTTTATCATCAATTCCATCATTTTACTAACTAACGAAAGAAAAAAAACAATAATTCTGCTTATATTTTATTAGTGTGTAATAGATCAATAAATGATTGAAAATTTTTCATAGTTTTCAATAATGAGCAAACTTATTAGCTGCTATTAGTAATTTGGAATTCAATCTTCCATGTTTTAAGATTGTTTTTCTTTTCTTTTTTTCACGAAAAACCGAAAAATGATACAAATATCTCTTTTCAAATTCAAACATTTATTGATTATAATATAATATAATATAACATAATATAACGTAATCCAATTATCGTTTATTCATTTCGTTATCAATTTTGAAATTATCACTAGAGATTGTCGAAGTAGAAAGTTACCACTACTACTAGTTTTTCATTTCTTTGATCGAACGAAACGCTTATTGAATGTTTAGAGCGAGTTTTCGTTCATTTTCCATTATGTTCCGTGCGGTTTCTCAAAAAAAAAAAAAAAAAAAAAAACGGAAGAAAAAAAATTAAAAAAAAAGAAGAAAAAGAAACGAAATTGAATCGAAGTGGATTTCTCGTTAAAATATATCGTGGCAGAATTGATAGAATTGAATTAGAATTGATAGAATCGAGCTGCTTGGAACACACGCAGGCACACACGAGTTATACACGTGGATTGGTTTTTCTAATTCTTCCCTCTCTATTTTGCACCGCGAACGATAAACAAAAAGGTATCACACCCACACACCGAAAAAAATACTCGAATACTCGATGAAGAAAAAAAAATTTATAGAAATATATATGTATATCGATTGTACAGATATTATTGTATATATTATCTTTCTCCTCTCTGTAACTTTTTCTCGTTGTTTAACTGTTTCGTGGAAAAAGGAAATATACGATTAAGTGCTTTTTTCTTTTTTTTTTTTTTTTTTTGTGAAAACTTCGTAAGACTTCTTCGTAAGACTTTTTTTTTTTTTTTTTAAAACCTCTAAAACCTTTTTTTTCAACACTTTTTTTTTTTTTTTTTAAAACCTCTAAAACCTTTTTTTTCAACACTTTTTTTTTTTTTTTTTTTTTTTTTTTTAGGGAAATGATAAATGGTAAGGAATAGGGGAAATGTTTAGGATTGAAGTACTACTAACGTAATTAATTAACAGCATGACATGAACATAGTGGAAAAAAAGTTTTCGAATAAAAACGAATTGTCATTTTCAGGATATTTACCGATCAGTATAGGTAAGTCGCATTATTACATAGTAATTTCAGTATGCTGCAATTATTCTGGGTTGCAAATTGTACATCAAAATCACGAAGGCCA